GCCGAAATTATACTCAAAATTACTGAAATTGCCATTGCATTAGTTCAAAATTACCCTTTTTAGTTTAATCAATTTAGTTATAAAACAATGGCAATTTGAGTAATATTGGAATCAATTTTGGACATTTTTCTAAATGTACTTCTCCTTTAATATTATAGAGATACACAAGATTTTATCGATCAAAATACACACACTACTTTTGAACTATGATACAGTGATTTTGGGTTTTCAGATTCTCATTATTAGTTTCCTAATTAGAGTACTTTGTATTGTTTTCTAGCTAGTTCGCTCAAATAAATTTGTATTTGTCCAAGTTAAATATTTATGTTATAAATGTAATAAAATTAGCAAAAATAATAATAATCTTTTATTGAATTATTTCCTAAACCAAACTTATTTCATTAATATTTTTGGTTTTTTTTTTATGTTTGTAGAGCAAAATTTACAAGTATTTTAGTATTAACTACTAAAATAATATGAACTTATTAAACTTATTTCTTTCTAGCATTAGTAATTTATTAAACAAAGGATAACTTATGGTGTCAGTTTTGAAAATAAACATACCAAAAATAGCATTTTTGCAATTCTTCCTCATTATTATTAACCACTCAAATTAATAAAAACATACAAGTTATAGTTATAATATTAACAAAAGAAAAGTTTAAAAGCATTACAAATTTTTATTTCCTTCAATTGATTTTTCGATTTCCCATGTAAACTATATTTATTAATTATGTTGTATTCCTCAATTCTACTGCCTTATTCTTAACACCATATTTTTTCCACAGCTTTTCCTCAAGATTCCACAGCTTTGGAGTTACCAGTTATATTATTATTAAAGAAAGAAAAACACCTCATAGCTTTCAATTATTTCATGTTTTTCCAGAGAGAAAACATTTTATAATTAGTTAGTAAACAAAGCATGATTGATCACTCATGGATTCTTGATAAGAAAAATAATTTGTTTCATCTGTTTCTTCACTTTTGAGTAACAATGGCAACAATGATCTTCGTTGACTTTAAGCACTGCTTCATCTTCATCCTCTTATGCATCTTCTCACTCCTCTGTTACTTTCTCTTCTTCAAGAAACCGAAGGACATACGAAGCTTCGATCTGCCTCCGAGCCCTCCATCTCTGCCGATCATTGGCCACTTTCACCTTTTCCTTTCTCTTCAAATCCACAAATCTTTAAAGAAACTCTCTTCCAAGTATGGACCTTTCCTCCATCTTTGCGTCTTCAATGTCCCCATGGTCCTCGTCTCCTCTGCCTCAATAGCCTATGAGATCTTTAAGGCACAAGACGTAAACATTTCCACTCGTAACCAACCTACCAACGAAGGGTCTCTCTTTTTGGGATCTTCCAGTTTCGTCAATGCTCCTTATGGAGATTATTGGAAGTTCATGAAGAAGCTCACCATCACCAAGCTCCTCGGACCTCAGGCGCTTGAGAGGTCACGAGCCGTCCGTGTAGATGAGGTAAAGAGGTTTTACTCAAACCTGCTTGACAAGGCGATGAAGCAGGAGAGCGTTGAGATTGTTGAGGAAGCTATGAAGCTAACGAATAACATCATCTGCAAGATGATCATGGGGAGGACTTGTTCAGAGGAGAACGGTGAAGCGGATAAAGTAAGGGGTTTGGTGACCGAGTCAGGTCGCTTGGTGAAGAAATTTTTCTTGGCGGCGATCTTGCGCAAACCGCTCAGGAAACTCGGGATCTCACTGTTCAAAAAGGAGTTAACAGGTATTTCCTACAAGTTTGATGAGGTGTTGGAGAAGATTCTTGTGGATTACGAAGAGAAAGTGGAGGAGCATCACCAAGGTACCGACATGATGGATGTGTTGTTGGAAGCTTATGGAGACGAAAACCCAGAGTATAAGATCACTAGAAACCACATCAAGTCCTTTTTTGTGGTAAATGTTCCTCTCTTTTAATGGATCTGTTTAGACCTCAAAGGAACACTATTGCTTGCCCTTAATAAGAAACATTTCCTATTACAGGATCTTTTAATTGCAGGCACTGACTCATCAACACACACTATACAGTGGATCATGGCGGAGATCATTAACAATCCTAACATTCTTGAGAGATTGAGGGAAGAGATCGATTCAGTTGTAGGAAAAAAAAAGTTGATTCAAGAAACAGATCTTTTGAACCTCCCTTACTTGCACGCGATAGTCAAAGAAGGGCTGAGATTGCATCCGCCGATCCCTTTTGTGATAAGGGAGTTCCAAAAAGGGTGTAAGGTTAGAAGCTTCTATATACCAGAGAAGACAACACTTGTTGTTAATGGTTATGCTTTAATGAGAGATCCTGATATGTGGGAAGACCCTGAGGAGTTTAAGCCAGAGAGGTTTCTTGCTTCCTCAAGATCAGGACAAGATAACGAGATAAGAGAGGACGTCCTTAAATACATTCCTTTTGGAAGCGGAAGGAGAGGTTGTCCTGGATCAAATCTAGCTTATGTTTCTGTGGGAATAGCGATTGGAGTGATGGTGCAGTGCTTTGATTGGAAAATCGAAGGAGACAAGGTTAACATGGAAGAAGTTCCTGGAGCAATTACGTTGACCATGGCGCATCGTCTTAAGTGCATTCCTGTTCCTCGAACTCTAATACCTTTTACTTAAACATTAAAATATGTAAATCTTCGGTGCTTGACTTGGAGATGTCGCATGATGTTTGTTGTTTCTGGTAATAGATGTAGCAACATATGTATTTACATGTCCGACTTGCTTGATCTTCTAGATACTCGCCTTGATCACTTTTTCAATGTTGATTGGGTTTATGTCCGATTTAAGTGTTTTAGGCAAGAACATGGATGAACATGAAAATAAGTCTTTAGAGCCATTAAAGGTTTTTAACTCATTCTCTAATAGTAAAATTAATATTAGCTTCATGTTTCAGACTCAATTAGTTTTTTCTATTATTTCTGTGTCTAGTGGTAAGATTCGAGAGAGGTTCTTAAAAGTTAAAAAGAATTCATTTTTAGTTTTCTTAAATATTTGCAAAATGAAAGAATAATTAACAATTTGACTGATCTAAGACATGATAAGTAAATTACCAATATGAATAAATTAACAATTAGACGTTAATAAAAGCATTATTCATGTCAATTATTTTTGTGGTCCAATGGGTGGATGACACGTAGCATCGACGAGAGGTCCCACGCTTCTCTCTTCACTGATCCGTCTC